CCCTCCATAAAAACTCACCCGGTCCTGTAATCCCGCTGACCTGAGGCAGTGAGAGATCTCACAGCTTCAGAGAGATCCTTTAGCACTGCTCCGGAGCGCACTCCTACACTGCAGACTTGGGAACTGTTTTCTTTTTCTGTGTTGTTTTTATTACATTAGTCTGATATATGGCGTTATATATTTAGCGCGTGCAAATCTCTTCAAGCTGATTAAAGCTGACATTACAGCTAAAAGATGAGGCATAGAAAGCAATAATAAGGGGAAAGTATTTCGCAGGCTTTAAAATTTTAGATTTACTGGGAGGATCAATTAAATCTAAAATTTAATGTCCAAACCTGACCCTAAATCTCTTTTTAAAAAGGAAATTAATTCCTTTGTTTCTTATATTCCACCTCTGTAGACCATGGCTGAATACAATCCAAAGCAGTTTGCAGGACCTGCTGCTGGTTTTGAACAGTGTGGTAGGCTGCAGGGCATGCCAGTCTGGGAAATGTTCATGCTGAACAGTTTGTTGCTTACATTTTCAGAGCTATGGAAACCTTCAAGGAGAAGCTCCTTTTGGGTCTCTGAGCCAAGCTCTTTAGCAATGGCTCTGGAAACAAATTCTGGCATCCAAGATACAGTTGGACTGTACCGTAATTTAGTGTTTATGCATTGTTATTTTTGGCTGATGTCCTGTGTGCTCACAAGGTGCTAGGCACTGTGCAAATATAAGAAGGCATGATCCTTGCTTCAAAGACAAGATGAAAGAAATGTAAGCCTGATGCACGCATGTGCGTGCGTGCGTGCATGTGTGTGTAAAAAGGACTTTACAATTATTAATTCATTCTCACATATGAGACTGGAATCATTACTACAAATAGCAAAGTAGAAGCAAAAAGGTTCACAATCTGATTTTCAGAGAGCTGAACACCCTGAGATCTCATTTCCTTCAAATGAAATCATGAGGTCCGAAAGCCTTGCTTAGACCAACAATATTAGATTCATCTGCCATTGTAGATCACTCTGGTGGGAGATGTAGCCTAGGCTGCAACCAGATCCACTACAATGTGACTGGGATAGTGCTGCACAAAAAGAGATTTACAGGTGACAATGTTGCCACTGCAGATAAAGCCTAAATGATATGACCAAGGCCAAAATGGGACACGGCATCAGAGTCAAAATTCAGGAGCTCCCAGTTCCTCATCTTGTGTTCAGACCACAAGGCCCCAAACACAAAAATCTCAAAAACAGAGCAAATGCTAATACCATAGAATGAAATGTTCCACTGCTTAACCCATGGCTAACAAAATAAGGGAGGTGACCATGCATGCTAACATAGAAGTAATTGCTCTAACCAGTGGGCCTACATGACAGACATTTGCAACATGACAGGCCTACATGGGACATTGCATTTCCCATTCTGCTGGGAAAATGAATTTCCCAGCAGAAATTATAGCGAAAAAATGGTTTCCATTAAAAAAGGTTTGTGGCATCTTAGCTGTTATTTTTTCGCCTTCAACCTGGAAAGCATTTCTTGCATTCTTGTCTCAGCGCACTACCTTAACATCCCTTAATGTGCAGCACCATAGTAATTCATCATTACTGGGCCTCCAAATTATTCTAGTGTTGATTAAATTAGTAAATGCAATCACAATCTGAAGCGAGTTAATTGAGAGAATTTATTTGGCCCTGACAGTTTTATGCATGTTTGATTAAGTATTATAAGGTTTGTTTTTGATTTTGCATAATTTAACTTTAAATCCTGCACTGGGGGGGCCCATCAACTATTAATGACCGAAATAAACTCTTTTAAGATGCATATATTTATGATTTATTTCTAAACGCAATATCTTCCAGATTTTTTTTGTTCTGTTGCCAAAGTGACAAATATGTTTAAAGTAATATTTTGAGCCATTTGGTTCATGCTATAAATCTTCTGAAATGTATACAATTCATTAAAAGTTTTGAAAGAAGTACAAGTTAGCATTTATATTGCAACAAGTGACATATAAATGTGTATGTTTGTCTTCTAAGCATGCCATAAAATACATCAGCACTAGCTGGCCGTTTTGACTGGTACTAATGGCCCGCTCTCTGGGCCGATGATAAGTTTCATCACAAATCTTCGATCCTGTCAACACAAAACTGTTCAATCAACAGGAATATGAGTTGTGTCTTTAGTAAAATTAGCACAGGAAAGAAATACAGCCGATAGCCTTGCCGGAGTGCATGTGGGCGGGCTCTCTTTGGGATGAACGTACGAGCATTTGTTTAGGATCCCAGCTCTTTGAATGTCAAAGCTTCAATTCCCGCTGGGCCCTAGGACATTATATTTATGAGGATGCACATTCATTTAGACAGCAAAGTAGCCGAGGTATCTCGAGCAGAAAAGTGGATCCCGCTGCCTGCTTTTTGCAATTGAGGCCCGGGAAATTAAAAATTAAAGTTTCAGTCTTGACACCCCGTGGGTCATTCCTTCTGCATGCATTCCAGCCTGATTCCTGGAGCTGCTCAGAAGCTCTGGCTAAGGATTGGGCTTATCCTAGAGCTTATCAGAGGCATTTTTTCAATCAAGTGATGTGGGATAAGCAAGGGGGCTGCTCTTGGATGTCAATGGGTGCTGCTCTTTCACCCTGGAGAAGCACTCAGACTCAGAAATCTCCCCAGCATTTTCCGGAGCAGAAGATGGGAAGCCAAGGCTGAGATGGGGGCATAATTTTGTTCTGTGCTAGCTGCATGTTCCCTCCATCCTCAGAACTCATTCCTGGGAATGACAGGAGGAGATAAATGGAAGGTGGCTCTTTTTCTAATTGGAGTCACGGAACAGATGTTTCCAGTTTCAGGCTACTGGGAAAATGTATGGACTTTGCACCTCCCCTTCTTCCTCCCACCAGAAGCTACGTGGGAGAAACAAACATGACAAACCGTTAGAAGCACACTGCTGCCTAATGCCCTTGATTTCATTTTCCACAGGGAACATCAAGCGCTCTGGTCACTCGTCCTATCTGCAGGACAAAACTTCCCTGCTGTGTAGGGAGACCATGAAGTTTACCCCTAAGTCAGAGGGTGCTGTCATCGCACGCTGGTACCCTGCCGGGTGCCTGCGTGCACGCTATGTCTTCCTATAACAGATGATTCACATTTATTAACTTTCATAGCTAACGTTGGGCCAGCCAGCGGGGCCTGAACAACCACAAGATGCAAGCCAGTGTTTCTTCACCTTTCCCTCCCTTCAGGATACAGGCAACCCCCGCTTAGCGCTCTCCATCGGTTCCTGAAAAAACAAGCGTTAAGCGAAACGGAAAGTATTTGACCACCCGAGATGGCGACCACGGGGCACGCGTGAGCCTGGCACGAGCGTGCACATGGGCTTGGCACGAGCGAGCGTGCGTGCGCACACCTGTCACGAGCGTGCGCACACCTGTCACGAGCGTGCACGTGGGCACGGCATGACGTAATGAAACTCGCTGAGCGCTAAGTATCGATTTAAACCGAGCGTGATAGCGCAACAGCGCTAGGCGGGGGCTGCCTGTGCCTTTACTCATGGGCCCTCGTCACTCTCCGCAGGCGATGTGACGCCACCGAGACCTGGCGCAGACGTGCGATAGCTTTCAAACGGCCTCACCCAAACGCAGTGTAGCACCATCCCCGACGCCGCCGCGGTCCGCTCGTTTCTAAATTGTTTCGTTTCGCTTCCTCGTGCGGTTTCGAGACGCGCGTCGCCATCGGGAACCGACCCGGCCGGAGCCGCGCGGCCGAACGGGGCTCGTCCAGCAGCCGGGTCAGCTCTTGGGACCACGGTGTGCGGAGGGTGCATTCGCCAGGCTGAGTCTGTCCATCCTGAGATGTACTGACGATTCGCGGAAGGCTGATTCGGGTGCCGGACTCAACGATGTCCCGTCCAGCCCTAATGTCCGTGACGTCAATGTGGGGTTGAGGGGAGTCCGTAGTGCTCGCCGACACTTGCCGCACGGACTGAAGCAGACACTGCTTTCACTGCTTCTCACCAAGCCAGCTTCAGCGTAAAATGACTTGGGTTAGCGTGTACAGCGCCAAGGGGCCTGGCGGGGTTTTCCCTGCAGCCTTTCAGGTCTGCTTCAGAGCTGCCTCATCTGGCACATCTGCAGTATGGGCGCAAGGCCTAGCTCGGCCAGCCCCTGAGGGGCCACGTCGCCTTCATGCCGCGCTTGAATCGCGCCATAAATGCCCCGTAGGCCCGGCAGGTGGCGCCACGGTGGCTGCCAGCCCGCGTTGCCCGGGCGACGGCCCCGCCCCGCCCCCGCTGCAGCGCCTC